CTATGCACTCACTAAACAAAAAAAAAAATTGGAAAGAACTATAAATGTAGACAATGTTCAGGAAAGTTAACAATTATAAATTGTAGAACAATGTGTTACAAATCTCATCTTTTGAAAAAAGGCATGATACAGAAAATACGTGAGTTACAGGTCTAGGGAAAAAAGGCTACATAAATTCTTACTATATTGTCTGAACCCTGCAAAGAGCATATATTAACTTTGAAATTTTTTAAATCATATTTTTCAATTTTCATTCAGTTTCTGACAATCATCTAACATGTTACTTGTTAGAAAATATGGCTCTACAATACATATTAAAGTATAAAAATTCACATTAGTGACAATACCTCCCACTAATTATTATTTAATGGTTAAAAAGTCTGAGTGCTTAAATATTACCAACTGATTAAAGACAGAACTGGAGAGATGAAGGAACAGACTACTAAAAAAAAAAACATGCTGGAATTAAAAATGGTCAGTTATGTAGGTAAAGAGTAATAAAGAAAAACTTTGGGCAGGGCTTGGTGGCTCATGCTTGTAGCACTTTGGGAGGATGAGGAGGGAGGACCGTTTGAGATCAGGAGTTCAATACCAGGCTGGGCAACATAGGAAGACCCCACCTCTACAAAAAATGCTAAAAAGGAAAAAAAATTAGCCAGACATGGTGGTGTGCACCTATAGTCCCAGCTACCAGGGAGGCCAAGGCAAGAGAATCACCTTAGTCCAGGAATTCAAGGTTACAGTGCGCTATGACTGCACTCCAGCCTGGTAACAGAGTGAGATCCCGTCTGTATGGGGAAAAAAAGAAGAAAGGAAAGAAAGAAAAACTTAGTCCTAAGAAGCACTCTCCTCCAACTTTAATATTCCTAAGAGGTAAACTGTGAGACATCAGTTTGATGGTTCATATGCAGTCACTAAAATACTGTCAAAGACTATGTAGAACAAAACACTGAAAAATAGTATATAATTTACAATTATATAATTATAATTTCAATAATGTAAAGGCAATGCATGCATCAGGACAAGAAAAGAAATGAGATTAATTTTTTCTATCATCCAGGCTGAAGTGCAGTGGCACAATCACGGCTCACTATAATCTCAAACTCCTGGGTTCAAGCGATCCTCCTGCCTCAGCCTCCCAAATAGCTGGGAATACACACAGGTGTGAGGCACTGTGCCTGACTAATTTTTTATTTTGTACAGACAGAGTCTCGCTGTGTTGCTCAGGCTTGTCTCAAACTCCTGGCCTCTATCCTCCCACCTGGTCCTCCCAAAGTGCTAGGATTACAGGCATGAGCCACAGTGCCTAGCTGAAATTAATTTTTAAATTCACTACAGATAGCAAAATAATCAGAGCAGATTACAAGAGAAAAGAAGAGCTAATCCAAGCAAAATAATTTTGTATTCCGTCATTCTCAGGAATCTCTGAAATGACATCTGTCCACATTCTTATTAAAGGGACTTCTCCATTAGCCACATAGTGATAAAATGGCTAAATCTACAGAAAAATCAGAAAAATCTAATTTTGACTTAATTTCAAACACCTGGCCATCAACACTACCTAAAACACCAACATGCACAATCAAAAATTCACTCATTGCCAATTACTGGCATGAAATTTCATGTCACTCTTTGGTGTCTATTTCAATGTTTGGGGAAAATGGCCAAAATGAAGAATGCAAGAAGAAATCATGTCATCTTATTAAAAAAAAGTCAGGAAAGCAAAACAAAATTACGTCTAGAAATAGAAAAAGAATCAAACATCCCTGAGAAGTTACACATACTACATCTTACTCCTTACAAAAAGAATAAGATTTCTAGTAACCCCAGCAGAAACCCACAGTTTCTCTCTGTACCAGACACTGTTTTACCATGGGATACATTTGTGATGAGACACAGCTTATACCGACTATAGATTATTTACCCTCTCTCCACCCCACGCTGGAGCCTCTCACTCGTAGGTAGGCTCACATTAGTTAGGCCCAGGCCCATTTTCACTGAGTCATAGACTATACTCATTTTCAATTGCTAACTCCATATTATTATAATGCTTGAACTTCTCCAAATTCTAGATGGTCTTTGTTTAAAGTGGCTTTAACAATCAAAGCAACACTATACCTTTTTAGAGCAGTGTAGCAGACCGGTAGGATGAAAGCTTCACAAACAAGATCTAAGAACCACAGTGGTAGAAATAAATAACAAAAGGAAGTTATGGATTAAGCCTCTTCTTTTCTCAGGCTGCAAAGGTAAGGAGGCAAGTTTTGACGGTGAATAGCTATGAAAAGTGAGCAAGGATTAAGAAACGGGAATGCTGTCCCACAAACATAAAAAGCATGTACTTATATTATGCCTTGAAGTTTAACAAGTAACCTGTATGTTCCTTGAAATAGGCTTTAGCTACATTTACAGAAAAGGAAACTGATATTTAGAGACCCTAAGGAAAGGATTTCAAGATCCCTCAGAGTTGTAAAAAAGAGGATCTGAAATCCTCTTTTCTGCCTCCAGTGATGCTTTTTTCATTACACCTGGCTAAGAACAACAGCTTTGGAAGAGCAGCCAATGAATCAAGAACACACAAAATTAGTTTTAAAAATCCAACTTAGCTTATTTGAAACTGTTGGGAAGTGTAAAAAGCAAAGGAATATAACCATTATGCCTACTATGGTATCAAAATAGGGTAAAATACCTGGAAATTAGAAGATAAAAATAAGCTGAAATATAGCAGTCCAGAAGTGGATTCTAGTGCTTCTGAAGCCAGGCCAGGGGTTCTGGGAGAAAAACCAATTTATTCTATCAAGTATTAAACAAGTGTCTACCAGTGGAGAGTAACTAGGTTATGTTTGTCAATTAAATTCTACTGAATTTAAGTTCAGAAGCAACCACCCTTAAGTTTGTGCCTCTCAAAAGCAGTACTGAAAAGGAGTCTTTCACTGTCCTCATATCCACTCAACATAAAATAGTGCGGAAAAAAGTCTTCTTAAAGCAAGGTAGGAAAAAAATTTTCAATCCTGATAATGGGTAATAACCAACAAAAATTCTGCAGGATCAAGAAGCTGCTAAGCACCTAAAAACACTATTAATATCATAATTTTTCAGTAACTGACATAGAAATTTTGATTTTTAATCTCTTAAAAACCAAATATGGATAAATATTTCCTGCTACCAACAGTGCCAATACTTTCTTCAAACCAGGAGTTGCCTGCAGACAATTCAACTGCCCAGCTGCTAAGAGAACACTTAGGTTAGCCAGTTAGACTGACCATAAAATTACCAAATTGTTTTCTTCTTTACTTTCTACTTCTGATCCCATCCATCCCACAGGCATTCTGGTTCACTGTACTCTTGATGCTTTTCTTGATGCTTGTTCACCATTACTAATATTTTAACCCTGAATATTCAACAATGTGAAGGGCTATAACACAGCAAGCAATCCATTCGACGTCCTTATTATCCATGAACCCTTCATAGTTTCTCAGAATTACATAGCTTGTAGAGATTAAATCATAATACAAGGACACATATGACTAATCCTAAAAATTTAAGAGAAATGTAAGGTAATACCGCTAAAGATACAACACATAATTCCATCATAAGAGGCTCAAACTCATCGTACCTTCTATTTTTTAAGACCAGGAATCTTGGATATCAAAACGACCAGTGGATACTAACAGGGCCAAATGTTTACTTAGAAACTTTGTCCACATGCCTAAGGCTATACTAACTGCCAAATATGGAGCTGGACAAGGAATTGCCATCATCTTACACTCTAGCACACAGGGCTCCCCTTAACTGCAGTTAATGGTTCCTAGATCCAGGTACCTGCAATGCTAAGGTTTGGAGAACTAGAAACAGGAATGGATCCTTGAATCGAAAAATCAATATATGGACCCAAGTTAACACCACAACAAACATATAAGGAGGAAAGGGGGACGACTTTCCTATTCCAGCTTGAAGGGGAACGTGCTTTTCGTTTTAAAAAGGGCAAAGGCACTTGTCCAAAAAAAATCCGTTAAAAAAATTAAGTATATTTTGGAGAAAAAATTATCTATGAGGAAAATTGTAGACGCAAATCTACTTCGCCGTAAAGAGGCACAGGGCCATCTTAAGAAATCTGCTTTTAGAAACGCAGGGAAAATTCTGGATTCGACCACCAATCAACACAATCTAGGGAAGCTTTATGTTCCTCTCCGTCCCCCGACCCAAAAAAGTGGGGAAACATGAGGAAAAAAACCTCGTTCCCCAAAGCACTCAAACATCTTTACTATTCCTGGGTCAATAAGGGATGGTCTGCATAAAACGGGGACGAAAAAGGAGCACATTACAGCCCCGGTGTCCGAACACGTCCAGGATGGGGATGGGGGCGGTCAAAGACGCCGGAACACTAGGCACTTGGTAACTGAAGCGGCGGCTGCCTTCAAACCCGGATTCAGTTTCCGTGCGCAGAAATGGTGCCCGGAGGCCGCTACTTTCGCATCTGCGTCGCTTCTGCCTCCGCCGACACTGCCTCTTTTCCCCTCCCCCACGGGCGGGGCGGCGACGGCCTCCTGGCTCCGAGGGACCCGGTATTAAGAACCGCAATTGAGTCGGAGACCAGGCCAGGGGGCCACCCACCCTAAGCACCCTCTCCCGAAAGCCCACTCCCCCACTTCCTGTGTTAAGCTTCCATCAGCGCGCCGTCAGGAACTCCTGCGTCCCCTCACCTCGCCACCTCATCCCCAACAAACCCCAGCCCCACCTGTGCCCTCCGAGCCCTCCGTCTGCTCGACACTCGCTGGTCACCTCCCTTTCCAGGAGCCCTCCCATCCCTCACCTGAGGGGAACGGCTCAGCTTCTCTCACGCAAACACGGCGGCGCAGGCAGCCGGCAAGAACAATGTCTCTGCCACGACACCGCGGACACCGGGGCTGGCGCCCAGGACGGTTGCTTCGAGCCGCGGAGCGCGAAGAGAATGTCCCCTTCCGACCACCACACCGATCTCCCTTCCCGGCCCCCGTACACACCTCCAACCAACAGCGGCGGCGGATACGTCGCGCGGAGGTCAGCAGGAGAGTAGCCGAGGGTCGGCTGCAGCGGATTCTTCTCGCTCGCCTCCCCCTCCCTCGACAAACCTAAAGCCTCGGAAGCCGGAGAGCCGCGAGCTCGTTACCCCTCACAACCACCTCTTCCCGGGCGCCAGGCGCTGCGGCGACCGACCAGGACCACGGACGTCCCGCCCCCTTTGCCGCCGCCCCCTCTTATTGTTTTACCCCTGCCGAAAGGGCCAGGGAACCCCCCAGCACGGCGTCAGCCAATCACGCATCTCCTTCGCGAGCCGGACCCAACCTCCTCGCGTCCCTCTGCGGAGCACGCGCAGTACGCCGCCGCGCTCACACACATTCGCGCCCGGAAAGCCGGGGAACCGGAACCGGCCTAAAGCCGAGCCGAGAGTCCGCTGATTTGACGTCACAAGGAGGCTGCCTTTCTCCTGCCCCGAGGCTCCAGCCTCGCCGCCCTTCCAGATCGCGCGAGCAAGAGCCGCTTCGCTGCGGCGCTGTGTCTTGTACACAGATATTTCTGGTCCCTTTTGATTATTAATGTTAACAGGAAGATAATTAGTAATCTCTAAACCAGGTGTCTGCAGGTTGCTGGTCTAGACTAGCATAAAATGCAGCCAGTGGTTTCAGCTGTGTGCATACGAAACTCACCTATATTGTTTATTAACTTATCCTAGAAAATGGAGGTTTAAGCTCTACTGAGGTCATATTCATCGTAACGTTTCAAAGTAATATATATTACAGGCTTGCTTGGTGGTGGGCCCTGGGTATGTGAAGAGTATGAAGTGGACGCTACTGTGTGTTGGGGGGAGGTGAGCCTATTTCTTTGTGTGCCTGTTATGTATTTAAGCATTTAGCATTTTTACATACTAAAGCTAAAAGGCTTGAAATACCAGGATTACCGTCCTGTCCTAGATCTAGGCCCTGCCCCCGCCCCCCCCCGGGCACAGCTGTAGAAGACACTGACTCTTTGACCTTGATTCATGGAAAAAGCCAAATCTTGTAGTCAAGGAAGCCACTTTGCACCTTAGGTCTGGCAGTAGTTTCAGAGAATATCAGAGCACAGCAATTTTGGAATGAAGGGTTGAGGAAATGTTGAAAGAAATGGAAGGGCAATTAGGAAAGGAAAGAGAACACATTTATTAATGAATTCTTATGTGTCAAACATGATGGATGCAGGCATATACATTTCATCAGTTTTCCTCACAATCCCATACGGGCAACTTAAAGATATTTTACACATGTGAAGATGGGTTCACAGAGGTTATGCCAGCAGTTGGGCCTCCAAAGTCTTCGTTACATTCACCTTAGACTGCTTAATCATTTTGTTATATGCAAAATATATGGGCAGACCATCGCTTTTATAAAATGAACCTAAAACGTTTTTCCTGAAAGCATCACAATACATTATACGTAGATTGTCCTTTAAATCTAATAGTTATGTACCAGGCACTCTCGTAATTAAAGCCTCACAGTAACCCTATGAAGTTGTTGTGATTTTTCTGCCCATTTTATAGATGAGAGAACAGGCTTGGAGAGCTCAAGTGACTTACGCGAGGACACACAGCTCCTATCCACAGGAGCTGGGACGCAGACACAGTCAGCCTCCACGGTCCATGCCCTTAACCCCAAACCGTAGAATACTCCCATTGTACTAACTGCCACAATTCACTTATCTTCCCTACTATTGACTAACATTCCAAATGATTCCAGTTTGGGGCTTTTATGTGCAATGCTGTTATAAACATCCTTCACCGTGTATCCTGGTTCATAGTTGCAAAAGTTTCTCTAGAGCAGTGGTTCTCAGACCTAAAAGTGCATCAGAATCACCTGTTGGGCATGTTAAAACAAATTGCTGGGCCCCACTGCCTGAGTTTCTGATTCAGCAGGTTTGTGCGGAGGCCTGAGAATTTGCATTTCTAACAAGTTCCCAGCTGATGCTGCTACTGCCGCTCTAGAAACCACACTTTAAGAACTACTGATTTAGGGCAGAGATTGGCAAACTTTTCACTGTAAAGGACAAGACAGTAAATATTTTAGGTTTTCAGGGCAACATATGGTCTCTGTTGTATATCCCTACCCCTCTTGTTTTAATCCCTTAAAAATGTAAGAAACATTCTTACCTTAGCTCTAGGGCTATACAAAAACAGGCCGTAGGTAACCCCTGCTCTAGGGGATACACCAATAAGTGGAGTTAATGGGGAAAAAAGATTCATCTGTCTTCAGCTTTAGGAAATAATCCTAACCTATTCTCCTAAGTGGTGATTTTTTACCTTGTAAATGTCTCAAGTCTATGCCCTCTGGATGCCTCTCCATACTTAACAGCCTCTGCCCACGTTCAGGCCCATTTCCTCTTCCCAGAAAGATTGCGGTAGCTTCCTAACTAATCTCCCTGCCTTTCAAACATAGCCTCAGTGAAGCTAGGCAGGGAGACCCCTATGAACTGTATTCATTCAGTGGCTCAGGACAAAAATCTTTTAAGTTACTCTTGATTCCTCTCCCACTACACAGCCAATTGTTGGTAAATTTCTGCTCCCTCTACCTTCAACATTTATTCTGGATGCAACACTTCGCATCACTGTTACTGTTACTATGGTAGTCCAGGCCACCACTGCCTGCTGCGACAGCTTTCTACTTGTTAGTGCTTCCACTCTCATTCCACTATAGTCTGTTCTCATAGCAGCCAGATCCTTTACAGCTATAAATCAGACGACATTCCCAGAACTTTCCAAAGGCAACACAAAAGCTCAAGTCCTTACCATGGCCTACAAGGCCTACCTGATCTAGTCCTTACCTTGTTACTTCCACCTCTTTTCGTACCCTTGTTCTCTCACACCACCCCCAGCTCTTCCTTTGACATTCCAATAACGTTCCCACCCCAAGGCCTTTAATATGAACCTTTTATCAAAAGACTTTATCAGAGTAAATCACATCTACTGATTTTCCCTAGTGCCCACGTTGAAATATCTCACTCTTTAGCATTCTAAAGGTGAGTTAGGTATGATTTTTCCCCTTATCCAAACCATCCTTACAGAATTTCAATTAACCTAACTCCGCTTAGTCTTCTAACTTATCTAGGCTGTATTCTGTGGTTATTTTGTATTCCCCTCTATGTCATATAGATCCTAGGTTCTCTTCTAAAGTGTTTTTTATAAATAGAAGTCAAACGGCAATCTACAGGTTCTCTACTTAATAATAGTTTACAGGATTCTTTAAAACTCTTGGATTCATTCATTCAGTAGCTGAGCTCCAATGTGTCAAGCAGAGTACTAGGCTCAAGATGAGGCACAAATAATTGAAATACAGTGTCTTCAGGGAATTGGGAGAGAGAGACCCAGGAGGATGAAGAAGAGAGAAACAGAAAAGTACAAAGGGAAAAATATTAAGTTCATACTGGAGAATCCTGGCAGACAGAAAGAGGGAGAGTCAGAGAAAGACAGCAGGGAAACAGAATGGAGTGTATTGTTTCGTGATATTGCACTAGAGCTACTGATTGCACTTTGTACTTCTCCTTCATAACACTGAATTTTGAATTTATACAACATCTGATACCCTCCTTGACCTACAGACACATGCATACACACACGCATATACACACACACACACACACACACACACACACGCACCACTTTTAAGTTCTGTGAGGGAAGAACTCTCGTTAGTTTCTAAGATAGAACACCTTGATACTGGCACAAAGTGCTCCATAAGCACGTGTTGGCTGACTGACCACTGTAGAGCAGTCTTTCTCCTGGGCTTCTAGTATTTTCAAAATTTTTGCCCTAACTTCTAGAACAGTATATAATTTGTTATTCTTTCTTGATTAATAATAATAGTTTTTAAGGCTGTCGATTTTTCCCTGCCAGTAGTTTAGGCCACATCCCGTAGGTTTTATTCACTACTGTTTTCTAAATAGTTTGGAAATGTAGTTTGGATTTTTTCTTTGATTCGGTTATTTATTTATTTATTTATTTATTTATTTATTTTTTGAGACAGACTCTCACTGTGTTGCCCTGGCTAGAGTGAGTGCCGTGGCGTCAGCCTAGCTCACAGCAACCTCAAACTCCTGGGCTCAAGCGATCCTCCTGCCTCAGCCTCCCGAGTAGCTGGGACTACAGGCATGCGCCATCATGCCCGGCTAATTTTTTTTTTCTATGTATTTTTAGTTGTCCGATTAATTTCTTTCCATTTTTAGTAGAGACGGGGTCTCGCTCTTGCTCAGGCTGGTTTCGAACTCCTGAGCTCAAACAATCTGCCCGCCTCGGCCTCCCAGAGTGCTAGGATTACAGGCGTGAGCCACCGCGCCTGGCCTGATTCGGTTATTTAAAAAGACTTGATTGAGAATAAATAATTGAGTATAAATAGTTTGGATTTTAAAATTTAAACTTTCTGTTTTTGCTTGTTAGTTTTATAGTACATTACGGTCTGTGAGTATGGCATGTACCTTTTGGTGCTTTGGAGAATTTGTTGAGATTTTTCCTTGTGGCCTAATATAGGTACAACTTTTGTAAGTTGTCTATAAAACCCTAGTTTATTGAAATCACCTTTTGTTGTCTTTCAATTTTTCTCTTTCTAATAGTTTTTGCATTGCACATTTTAAACCTTTGAAATAATTTCATAGATCCTGAAAAGTTACAAAAATAGTTTAAAAATTTCCATATGCCTTTCACCTACATTCCTCAAATGTTAATATTTACTACATCTGCTTTATCATTCTTATTAATTTTCTCCTTCTCTCTTTCTCTTCTCTCCCAGTAGACCACTAATTTACTGAGGACACTATATTCCATTGTTTGGCCTCATCCTGTGCCTAGTACTATCCCTGATACATTAGCATTCGATGGTGATTACTAAACAATTGAATTCAGGAGCTTCAAAGAAACTGTAAGTGGCCAGCACAAGGTGGCTCACACCTGTAATCCTAGCACTCTGGGTGGCTGAAGCTGGAGGATGCCTTGAGGTCAGGACTTCAGGACCAGCCTGAGCAAGAGGGAGACTCCCATCTCTACCAAAAATAGAAAAAATTAGCTGTGTGTGGTGGTGCGCCCCTGTAGTCCCAGCTACTCAGGAGGTTGAGGCAGGAGTATGGCTTGAGCCCAAGAGTTGCACATTGCAATGAGCTATGATCATGGCACTGCACTCTAGCCAGGATGACAGAGCAAGACCCTGTCTCCAAAAAAAAATAAATAAATGAGGCAAGGCACTGTCTCTTAAAAAAAAAAAATAAATCAGAAAGAAAGAAATCTATT